TATCAAGGGACCAAAGGAGGGACCCTTAAAGGGACCCTTGGGGTTATATAGGGGCTTTATGAGGCTATATAAGGGGTATATAAGGTTTATATATAGGGTATTAGGAGTCCTTTCTAGGGGTCCCTCCTATTGTCCCTTAAGAACAAGTAGACAGGAGCTTCTGGGCTATGTATTCATATGGTTCCAGTAAGGCCGTAGTTGAGGAGATAGTAGTACCAATTGCTCCAAGCCCCTACCCATAGGCCCCATAGTAGTTCCTTTTTGGGATTACCTGCTGGGATCCTAAATATAAGCCACAAGAAGCCTTGCAAGCACCATCCTAAACACCAAGCTACGGACCCGCCTCCAGAATCTGCAAGCTGGCGCCGGCTGGCTTAGTGTCAAGAGTCAAGAGTAGGGTGGCCGAAACCCTGAGCACCTAAACACCGTAACTCAAATTAGAGAGTAGTGGCAGCCGTCGTCGTCGTCGTCGTGGGCATCCGTCATAGTACTAGGAGTCGTCGTCGTAGTCGTGGTCGTGGTCTTGGTCGCAGTCATCGTTTTAGTACTAGTAGTCATCGTCGCGGTATTAGGAGTAGTAGCAGTACTAGTAGTCCTTGTCGTAGTCGTGGTCGTAGTCGTAGTACTGTCGTAGTCGTAGTACTGTCGTAGTCGTAGTAGTAGTGGTGGTAGTAGTAGTAGTAGTAGTAATAGCAGCAGCAGGAGGACGAGGAGGAGGAGTTGTAGCAGTTTAGTAGCAATCGTGGTAGTACCCCACCCCATCTTAATCCGTGCCTGCTTGCAAGTGCCCTTGGCGTCGCCTGCGGCCCACTGGCTGATCTTGGCCCAAGCAGCGAAGGTTGGAAAAGCTTCTGAAATGGCTTGCATACGAAATATATATGGTGTTCACGGCGCTTTTGAGGGGTTTGTACGGAAAAAACCAAAATTGTAGGTTCGGAGTTAGGGTTCAGCCTAAGGGGCATAAGCATTCAACCGGCGCACATTTCACAGGCGTGACAATGCAAAAGGAGGCATTGCCTGGACGAGGTTTAGGGTTTGGGCTGGGTGCTTCGGTTTCTTTTAAGTGCAATGGGACTTCCGCTCTGCAGAGTTGCATATAGGTATAGGGTTGCGAAGGACCACGGGAATCGTGAGGTAAATATGACCGGATGAACTTGCACGCATGGGAAGAACCTATTACCCATAACGAATGTTCACGGCTTCTACATTCAAACCACCTATGACCCGTGAACACTGCGATGTATGCCTGCTAGATCACCTATCAGAATCTCCGTAAACGCCAAAAATACATCGTCCTCAACTCTCAACCCGAATCCCTCTGTAAAGCCTATACAGTCCAAAAGCACATTCAAAGATCCCAAACCACCTGCCACCATGCAACGTTAAAAGGGAGATACGAGCCGGGCTGCAATGAGGTCAGCCTGCTGCTTTCGCTTCTCCTTCGCAGTCATTTGGTGCTCTGCATGCTTGGCCAGCGTCTCCTGCAGCATGCATGCACTACGGCTTGTCGAGCTTCTACAACATGGTTTTGCAGGGTATGAATCAGGTTTTGCAAGGTCGAGGGTTTGGGATTGCACCATTTGAGGGGTGCTTATGCTAGGGGGATCAGGCCCGAAGGCTAAGCCCCAAAATCTGACCGAGTTTCTCCCGCACAACTGCGCAAGAATGATCGGGATTTAAGGAACACTTTGCATCTTGCCGTGCTGGGGGACTACACCTTAGATCACGAAGCCAGGCCCGAACCGTAACAGTTACGATAAGCTTAAAGTGGCATGTTGGCAAAACCGACAACAGATATGGATAAATCATGTGAACAGCCAATCACGACTATGACTGTGGTCATGAAGTCACGATGGTTCCTACGGTCACAGCCACCAGTAGGACTAGAAGCACCATAAACAACAGAGTCGACATGAGCAAGCCTGCCGAAACGGACAAATGTCACGAGAGCCGTACAACCGAACAAAGGACACATTCTTGCACTTGAAGCTGGGTCAGAGAATCAAGCTTGGAGCGACGACATCGAAGCAGGAACAGCCCTCTAAACCCTAAACCCTATAAACCCTATAATGATAAACCTTATACGCCCTTACCCCTATAAACCCTACAATCATAAACCCTATAAGCCCAACCCTATAAGCCCTACAAATATCAACCCTAAAAACCCTAGACCCTATAAACGCTAAAAGCTTAAAACCCTATAGGCCCTAAACCCAACCAGGCTTGGAGCCGCGACATCGAAGCAGGAACAGCAGCCTGACCGTTCTTGGATCTCTTGCCGCAGCCCTCAGATCTCTGTGCACTGCAGCTGCAGCGATGTTGATGCCGTGCTCCACAAATCCACGAGAAACCCTAAACCCTAAACCCTACGTCCTAAACCCCAAACCCTAAGCCCTAAATCCTAAACCCCAAACCCTCAACCCTAAGCCCAAACCCTAGAACTAAGCCCTAAACCTCTATAGCTTCCGTGGTGTGCCACAAGGCCTCCATCTCGAAAGAGGAAGCTTGCGCCAGAGGCTCCGTTCTGCAAGCCGAGAGCGTGCAGCAGCTTTCCCAGAGCAGGGCTTAAGACAGGCAAGACGCGTTTTAGGGCTTAGGGTTTATTGTTTAGGGTTTAGGGTTTATCGTTTAGGGTTTATCGTTTAGGGTTTAGGGTTTAGGGTTTATCGTTTAGGGTTTAGGGTTTCGGGTTTATCGTTTAGGGTTTAGGGTTTCGGGTTCATCGTTTAGGGTTTAGGGTTAAGGTTTTAGGGTTTAAAGTTAATTAAAAGGCACAGATTTGTTGAATCGCCAATCATGCGTTCGACTTGCCTAACATGCAAGCAGAACGATCGAAGCCCATACCTAAAACCACAAGTCTAACACAGAACATTGTGGAGGATCCGGGGGCTTAGTAAGTGGCTTCGAATCGGGTGTCGCTTTTTGTTATTATTTCGGTGTGAGCCTTCTAAGGTTTAGGAGTTTGCTTCAAGGATCAGGGGACTAAGTATCTGGCTTGTACTGGAGGTCTGACCGGAGGTACAATGACTGCAATTGGGGAGTATCCTAAGTATACCCCTCGGTCTGTTCATTCTAGGGTATAACATGACGCAAAAGACCCCTAGCTAAGCCCTAAACCCTAAACCTTCTATCTCGGCGACTATCAGAACCCTACTCTGCCTGGAATGACATCTGGTGCTGCTGGAAATGTGCCGCCCAGGCATCGTGATGCTGCTCCAACTCCTGTGAGAGCTCGGTTCAGGCTTGGTTTGGGGTTTAGGGTTTAAGGTTTGGGGTCTAGGGTTTAGGGTTTAGGGTTTGGGGTTGAAAGGTCAGGAGCTGGAAGAACACAAATTGCTTCTCTTTATCCATCGCAACGATGCGCACCCAAAGGTCATTCACAACGGGCGATCTCTTCGGTCCGCCGCCCAGCAGCCACCTAACACTTTGCAATCCACTGGTGCTCAAACGGGGCCCATTTCTCTGGCGTCTGATCAGCACATGTCTGCATCTCCTTCAGCGCTGCCGGGGTGGTGTCGAGGAGCAAATTTCTTGACACAGTTGGTGCCTGTTGAGATGGCCTTGTTCACACCAACCACCCCAGATTGATTTCTTCGAACAGTGCCTGCAAGAGCTTGCTTCTCACGGGCGGTGCGGCATTCTGGGGTCTAGGGTTTTGGGTTTAGGATTTAGGAGCCTTAATGCTTAGAATAGGGTTCAATCGGGTAGATATTGAAGGCTAATGACCTAGGGACTTGAAGGGGATCATTATGTAGACCTCTATATTCAGACTTTCGGCTTGAGATTTGGAGTTTGAGATTTGGGGCGTAGGGTTGGGGAAGTGCCCACATCGGGTTTGGATAGGTAAGTTTTCGAACAGATATAGAATTGCAAGGAGCCCTATCCCAAACCTGGCTCTGGTAGCTTCGTCTTTCAGTTAGGCCAGACCTACCTAACAAAAACCTTCTAAAAAACCTCTACAGACGCCTAGTAGAACGTTCGAAACCACCCAATCTACCCTAAACCCTAAACCCCCCGCCATCCCAACCCCTAAACTAAGCCACTTAACCGAGAACTGAGGCAAGCTCGAATCCTAATCGGGACCCTGGGGTCCTGCCGGTGCTCCTCCTCAAACCTCGTGAGCTCTCCCTGCCAATGGAACAAGAAGCGGAGAGTTTGGAGTGTCGGGCGGAGGGGAGTTATTAGGGTGTAGGGTTTCGAGTTTAGG